GAGCCCGAGGGGCTGCGGCGCCTGCACCGCGCCGGCGCCCAGATCGCCATCATGACCTTCAAAGGTGAGGCCTGACCCTGCCCACGGCCAGGCCCGACAGGAGCCGGGCCGCCAGCAGAAAGGCAAACCCCTAAGCAGAGGGTATTGTAAACGAGAGAGTCACGCCATGAACAACCGCCAGAGGTACAAACGATGCACCCAGCTCATATACAATTGACACCACCCCCAACGACCCCAGAAAAGACACAATTTGACAAGTGGTATAAACAGAGAGCCAAGGCTTCCCATAGCTGGCAAGGGAAACAGCCAGATCACCAGGTTAAACAGATAGCATAAAGATGCCCACATGGCAACTCTCACCCCATCAGCCCAAGTTCACAAAGGTCTGAACTGACCTGGGCCCAGCTCCAGGAGTCAGGAGGTCTGCCCTGAACCAGGAAGCTCTGTGGAGTGGGTGCACTCCACAGACAGACACTCCTCCCTTTCTGCTAGTGGTCCCAGCTTTTATCCCCCAGCACACACCTGACCTTTAGTTACTTCATGTGGGACCCCTGGGGCTCATTTCCCTTCTGGCTCTCCCTGCAGGGCCGGCCGCACCCTGGGGGGGAGCTAAAAGGTAAACTCACCACCTCTGTATGAAGGGCTGTGGGAATCACCCACATGTCAACCTTAATTTGGGGCTCAAACCCCAGCATTTCAGGCATGCAGGCAGGAAAGAGCTGATGGAAGCTCTCTGGGTCAGGAGGCAGAGGAGGTGATGACAGGGATGTGATGATGAAGCGAGCCCAGGAAAGGTCCGTGTCCTCTCTGGGGCAGTCTCGAGCACTCTGTAACTCCCCTGTGCCTTGAACAGATTACTTCTACTGCTGGAACACGTTTGTGGAGAACAGGGAAAAGACATTCAAAGCGTGGGAGGGACTTCATGAAAACGCCGTCCATCTGTCCAGAAAACTTCGACGGATCCTCCTGGTGAGGGCAAACTCTGCTTCTCCTCCTGGTGCCTCTTCCCCTCAGCTTCTTCCTCACTATAGTTCCTCTCTGCTCTTGCTGCCCATCTCTTCCATCTGCCATTTCATTCATTCCTGTGTCTTCAACTTCCATGTCCTCTCATGTCCTCCAGCTTCCTTCACATCTCCTCTTTTCATTCTCTCCCTCTTCTCCCACCTCTCATCCCATCTCCTGCCATCCCTTTCTCCATGCCCATCTTCATAGGTTCCTGCTCACTCGACAACTGACCTGCCATTTGTGTTTTTGTCCTGCAGCCCCTCTATGAGGTAGATGATTTACGAGACGCCTTTAGAACGCTGGGACTTTGACGTGAAAGCTATCAGCAGTCAGAAGACTTCACACACACTTGTTCTTTGGTTGATCTCCAACGCTGTCTCTTCCAGCAAAACTTCCCCTTCTTCCCTCTTTACATCTCACTTCCCTCCAGCCCTGTGTCTAGAGATAAGACTTTCCCATTTCCAAGGAGAATCAGGCTGGTCTTCTGCAGAGGCATTCCCCAGGCTCACACCTCACCCACTGCTAGCTGGGAGCAGCCAGGACGGCAGGGACACTGTCAGAGGGTGATTTGCCCTCCCTCGGTTCCTGCAGAGCTAATTCAGGAGTTCTGGGTTTAGCCTTGCCCAGGTGAGAGCAGCCAGCCTGCAGAGCTGTGTGTGTGGCTGTGCTCTGACCAGCACCACACTGCTCTGCACATTTCTTTTGGGGAGTACATCTCTTGGCTCTCAGAGCTGCACTACACTGAGCTGCTCTGTGTCCTGCCCTGTGAAACAGGAGCTGTCCTGGTTGTGGGTAGGAAGCTGAAAACCATCACCATTTAAGTGGTATAGCCTGTGTCCTAACAGCAAAATTGGCCAGTTACTGGAAAGCTGACTGAGAGTATTGATGTGAGTCCTGGACAACCCAGGTAGCTTGGCTTGGAAACCTCACTTGGAGCCAGCAGCTCTTCTCCATGGACTGTGTGCAGGCCCAGGTACTGTGTGCCTCCTGCCCAGAAAGAACTCCAGTAGCTGTGGGCCCAGGTTTGTGCCCTAGGAGAGGCTAAAACCAGACAATAAAAGCCTGAAATTAAAGCAGAAGACTCACTGGCCAATATTTCCAAGTGTGAGGTGTAATTCTGGGTGTCCAGCAAGACACATTTCTCATGCAGAAATAGGAAATCCACTCAACTCCTGTTGCCTGTGTTGGGAGCCATGGCAGCCTGGGGGCAGTACCAGTGTGTGGAGCTCCCACCCACCAGGAGAGGAGCCACCACACCTCCAATGGGCCTCCTCCTTGGCCAGGGTAAGGAGGTACCTTAACAGTCCTACAGTCTTGGTTTTTCAGGTCTTTTACTACCCATAACGTGGTCGGATATGACTAGCTGATGACTGGACTAAGAGCTGACCAGGAAAAACACCCAGCATAAGCAAAGCTGTACAGCCTGTAAATAGATATCTTCTGGGGGGGCAAAATCAAGGCATCCTCCTGCCTGGCGATCGCTGTGCTTCCACCAGGGGACAAGCAGCACAAGCTTCCCCAGCTTCAGCTCCAGGGGCACTCTCAGCTTGAGGAGTTTCAGCCAGGAAGAGCAATAAGAGTCCTTTGCAAAGCATTAATCTGCAAGCACAGTTGTATATTTGCTTGATATGCTGGACATTATTTATGTAAATAAAGGATTTACAAATGAGCATCTGGTTTTGTCATTATTTTGGTACCACGTGGGTGAGGGAAGTAAAAGCTGACACAGAAGACTGACGTGTCATCTGTCTTTTCTGACTTCTGGAGAGGCAATCCAGCACTGTCCTCTGAAACTGCCTTTACCCTTTTCACTTGTAACTTTAAAGTTGTTGACACTGTAACCCAGTAGATCGAGGCAGATGAAGTGTTCAAGCAGCAGCTGCTTTGGAAACACTGCCACAAATGGGTGATGTAAATGCTGAAGTCGTTCAAGATGCAGTTACCTGCTTTAGATTCAGAACCTGCAATCAACCAAAGAGGACACAGAAGTGCTCACCCCACATACTTCACAGAACAAGAGAAGCACAGATGGAGAAAGGATCTCTGCCTCCCAGCTTTTGGTATTGGCCTGTACAACACCATTGTAGGTCTCAGCCAAACTGTTAGAGAGCTACTAGAAAAAGCAGCACTTTCTAGAAAAGACAGGAGCTTTTGCTTGAGTGCTGGCACACAGTGAGTTGGAGATGCTTGTTGAGACAGGACATTTGATGACACTGTATGACAGAATAAATGCAATGAGTAAAAGCAAAGAAACATGCCCTGCATTCAGGCTACAGCCCAGGCTGCTGCTTCTGAACCTCAAGCAGATTAAACTCAGAGTTCAGCTAATCCACGTATTTAGCAATAGGAATTCATAGCTCTTCTGCTATAGATATTCCTTTAACCACACTTTTTCTGTTCTCAAATGCCAATTCGTATTATTTGTGACAAGCTATTCTTTGAAATGGCATTATTAATTAATTCAACCCAAATGCATTAGGTGTCTCTGCCAGAATAACTCCCTGGAGGGAGCTCCTCAGCCTGCAACTGTTCTGTTTGCCTTGATTGCCTGCTAAATATCCAGAGCCTTTAGCACGATCAAATGGTGCTATAAGCACTGATCAACCACTGCAAGGCCCAGCATACCTGTATCTCCTTTTTGTCTCCTGCCTGCAGAGATAGCTCAGAGCTCTCAGTATCTCCTACCTCAACATTCCACTCAATGTTTCCTGCTGGAAAATCAGAGACCTTTTACTGTGTTCTCCCAGTGTGCTGTCAACAGCCAGGACTCCAGTGTGGGATTCTAAGGGAAGGATGCGTGCTCAGGAAAAGAACAAGAAAAGGCAAGTTTCCACAGAGTTGACATTTTTCCCTTTTATTCTACAGTTTCTACAGTCATAAAAATAGGGAGAATAGAACCTTAAAGTGAAGCAATATAATCATTAGTCACAGAATTGTATTATTTTGTAAGAGAAGCAGTGTTATATTAGCAATATTACAAAAATAATATCATGAAGTATTGTCTGAAATGTACGGGCATAGCTATAAAAGTGATCTCCATAAGACATTCTCAGAAATGTAAAGCATTGCTGTTTACTCCTCTGGAAGAGACCCGTGTGTGGTTAGCATTGCTCACTGCCCCCTCACGAGGGTGCTCACAGAATCTGACTGCAGAATCAGCTCTGGTGGCAGCAGGAAGGTGATGAGGGCTGCAGTGGAAGAGCCTGCCAGTGACCAGCTTTCCTGGTCTTGTCTCTACAAGATGGTTGTTATGATGCACAAAGCGAGCCTGAAATCATGCTGCTGATGCTTGTTAGTGTTTAGTTTGCCAGCAGTGGAGGAAGCCCCTAGCAGGAAGAAAGAAACACGAATGTTAAAAATGCCAAAAGCTTGAGTTGTCTCTTCAACATCATCCAGAGTCTGAATATACAGCATCTGGTTGAAGATGTGAGATAATCTCCCTTGGGACACAGCTGTCCAGGCAACAAGGTGGCACCTCAGAGTTTACTGTGTCGTGTAAACTCCTCTTGGACAGACAGACTGCCCAGAGACAGACACGTTTAAAGGGTGGCAGATTGCACAGCTGAACCCAGGGGAAGTGGAGCTAGATGCTGTGGAAAGGCAGAATCTGGAGGGTTAGAAAGCCCTTGTCAATGTCTCTAGTCCAACAACGTGTTTGTGGCATGGCTACCTCCAAAGCTAGGGCTGGCAGCTGAGGGGAAAGCTCTGGGGAGGTCAGGCAGCCTCTCTGGACACCCGTCCTGGGGAGACTCCTTCCTTCTGGCCAGTTGGAATCCCCCTGGTTGCAGTTTGTGCCTGTGGCCTCATTTTCCCCCCATGCAGCTCTGAGAAGAGCCTGGCTCTGTCTTCACTGCCTGGATGTAGTGGAGACTGCAGTGAGCTCCCACTTGCCTTCTTTTCTCTAGGTCTAACAAAGCCAGCTTCCCCAGCTTCTCCTTGCAGGGCAAGTGCTCCCTCCCCCTGATCGTTGCACTGCTGCTCCACCAAACCCTCTCTGGCTCCTCAGTGTCTTTCTTATGCCAGGGAGACCAGGACTGGACTCAACACTGTGTTTCTCTGGAGCACGTGCCTGAGGCTCAGTATCCTCATTACACCTCTGTGTAATTGGTACAATGGGTGTGGGTGTTCACGAGGGCTCAGCAAAGGGACCTTCCTGCTCCTCTCATGGAGAGCTCGAGTTTAGTCCCAGCTGCTGGTAATGGGCCCTATCCACCTTCATTTTCGGGGTGGCCTGAGCATGGCTGAGACAGCAACGCAGCTGAGCTGGCACTGGACTCTGTGTGATAAGGAGCAGTGATAAGACTTCATGTCTGGAGTTACTGCCAGGGATTGGGATACAGCCCAAGGCCAATGCTGCAGCCAGACAGTTTATGGAACCGCTGCTGACTTCAGACAGAGCAGTTAATTGGAAGAGCTTTAGCTAAAAAGCTAAAATCATTGAGCAGAACCAGCTCTACCCCAAACCAGGAGAGTGGCCCAGTGCTTCCCAGCCACCAGAACCCTGCAGCCATCAAGAAGATGGCCAGGGGCACAGGGATGGACTGGCATTTGTTAGCTTGCTCTTCAGGCTGTGACCTGAAGGGCACACTGACCTCCTTCTGCTGCACAGGGACCCTGCTGGCTCAGCTGCAGGGTGGCAGTGCCCAAAAGCAGTGAGCAGGCAGCTCTGCTCAGCTCCCTGGGAAGCACCACGTCATGCAGCTGGTTGTGCATAAGCTGCTAAATTATTTAATCCTCTCAGACATCAGGAAACTCGGGAAGGTTGAAAGCCAAAGGAAAAATATCTCCTGAGCAGTTAGATTGCATTTACATCCATAGGATCAGCTGAGTGACTGGATAGTGCCTCTGGGTGTGTGTCCAGTCACCTGAGTGTCTTATTCAGGCAAAACTAGAAAGGTCAGGTCCTGAGGTATCAAAAGACCTGGGTAAAGTTTGGGATGGATGGAACTGAAATGAAGTGTAACGTGTACCTGTTCCTCAGTCAGAAATAAAAGAAGGGGTTTACAGCACCCTTCAAACAGGCTAGTTTTTCTCCTTCTAGACTGTGAGCTCCTGCCTGTATTATGTGGTTCTGTCCATCCCTTCCTCTACCTCCTGCTGTCCATTCTGCCAGAACGACAGAACTGGCTTTCCACCAGGAAGTTAATTCCACTCCTGCTCTTCTCTCCTCTTCAGCTGACCACCTTCTCTTTCTTCTATCATAGGACATCAGGCCATGCAAATAACTTCTGCAGCTGCATAGATTCCAAGCAATAGGGAATGCAAATCACAGTCATATGATACTCGGATGGATAAGCTCTGATCCTCAATGTGAATCCACACACAGGGGTTTCAGACTTTCTCTAATTCCACTCCTGCTCTTCTCTCCTCTTCAGCTGACCACCTTCTCTTTCTTCTATCATAGGACATCAGGCCATGCAAATAACTTCTGCAGCTGCATAGATTCCAAGCAATAGGGAATGCAAATCACAGTCATATGATACTCGGATGGATAAGCTCTGATCCTCAATGTGAATCCACACACAGGGGTTTCAGACTTTCTCAGAACTTAACTAAACTCAGCGGCCCTGTCCTGGGATGTAAAAAGAGTGTGCTTGGATCGTGCTCACACAGCTGAGGGAGCTTTGGGATTCAAACAGCTCCAGAAAGCTCCAAGCTAGTGAACGTGCAGCCGACCAGTGTAAGGGCTTGAAATAAATTACCCTTTCCTTAGTAAAAAACCCGAGACTGCTGCTAAACCTCTTCTCTACTCCTGACCACAAAGGACAATGCAGCATCCTGGTCCTTGGCAATCGCTCGCCCACTCGGCCCTCTGTTCATGCAGCATCAATGCTTATTTTTCCCATGACTGTTTCTGCTAACAGCATTGCCAGGATGCTCCAAACCTCCCTTTCCTAGGATCTGCCATTGCTTTTCACGGGTAGTGTTCTCTTCAAGTACCTACTAACCAGAAGGATGTGATGGAGCTCTCTCCAGTTCAGAAAGATGTATGGAGAGAAGCTCTGGGGCCAGTAAACTTCTTGTCCACGTTGGTATGCAACAAATTGTTTCCAGCAGTAACTGTAATCTGAAAAGAGAGACACGCAGTCACTCTTGATGAAAGGTACCCCCAGCTCTTTCTTCATGAATATGTCACTAAGTCGCCTCTTCCTCAGTATGACAACAGCAAAGAGCAGGAGAAGGATATTCATCTGAGGGTATTCATGCAGGGGACTGAAACACTGGCCAGAGCTTCTCTCAGTGCTCTGCTGGTATGATCCCAGAGACAGGCTCCCCAGGATAAGCCATGTCCTTTAATCTGACAGTTGGCCTGGTAGGTTCTGTGGCTGCACACTCCAGTAGCAAGTGCCCAGACAGGTATTTAAGATCTTTTCAAATGGATTTTCCTTTTTTGAGCTACTTGTCCCGACTGTTTTTACAGCCAAATATCAACAGGCAAGCAAGATATACATACAGAAAGACACACGTGAAGATGTCATCTGTAATGCACCATCTGCAAATCTCCTTCAGATATGTCTCCTTTTCCCCAGCTACCCAGGGAAGCCAGTTACTGGCTGCATCCTGCGAGCTGATCTGCGTATATACGCCATGAGGGACAGGGTCTGTCTCACATTCAGGGTTTTTCACTGTATATAAAGGAGGTGTAGATGGCTGGAGAAAGGAATAACTTCAGATTTGGCAGGAGGAAATGACCATGCTAGTCCTGCTGCTGCATGGGGTTGAGGAAGAAATAAGACAGAAGAGAGCGAGTGGCATTTTTGCAGTCAGTATTCCTCCCCAGTGTCACTCATCACCACTGGCACTAAGCGCAGCCGCTGAGAGTGCACAGGGACCCAGAACTCCCAATCCACACCTAGACAAAGCTGAAGAGCAGCTGGGTTACCTGCAAGATTCATGATACGTAGGATGACTCCATTCACTGCCAGGTCCATGAGACCTTGCCGGTTACGGATCTCCAGGTGCCTGAACAGCTTGGCTGCATATATTTCCAAGGTCACCTTGGGATGTGCCGTTAGGAACTTCAGAATTCTTCTGGAGCATTTTGCACAGGGGGCAGTAGATAAGAACCAGGTGATGGAGCAAGAAACAGATGGCTTGGCCTTGAAACAATTTTCCAAGAAGTTGACTTCAGCATGTTGGTCAATATTGTTGGAGCACCAGTTCCTCCAGATGGTTCCTCTTCTCCATCTGATTTCATACAGCAGGTACACCACCCTTGGACGGTGGTCAGGTGAATAATTTGTTTTGAATTCATCTGGCTCTATCTTCCACCTGTGGCCAAGGTACCAGCATTACCCCGGGATCACAGCCCTTCCGTGGCGTTTGATCCCAGGGTGCATTGCCTGCTCTCAGCATCAGCATCCCCCTCTCAGCCTTATATCCCACAAATAAACAACCTGAAGAAAGTTGAAGGCTCCAGAACTATTCCCCTAGAGTAGCCCTGGTGAAACAACCACAGCACCTCCCCGAGAGGTGTTGGGTAAAGCAACCCCACCACCACTCTGAGATCAGCACTGGTCAACAGAGACAACCAGAAAGGGAGACTGGGGAAAGGGCTGGTAGGAAGAAAACAAGGCTCAAGGCTTCTTAGCTCTGCCTGTCTGTGGGAATTGTCGTGGGGCACAGGCAGCAGATGGTGACAGAAATGTATCTCTTACCCCTGGTGGTTCTCTCTGGGTGCAGGACCTATACAGAAAAGATCTGTGAGTCGTTTGGGATGGCAGATCAGAATACAACATTTCCTCTGAGCTTCCTGTCCTGACCCCTTTCAGTCTGCACACTTCCTGCCAAATCTCTTACCTCAAAGGGCTTAATAAGTAACCCTGCACAGCAGGACAGACGTGGAGGATGCTGCTCGGGGTCAGATTAATGGTGGTTTAAACGCTGCTGTACACGGACCCTCGCCCGCTTTACCCCACGGGGGTTAGGGGTGACTGTGATCTCACCCACGTTTAACTTTGCTGATTTCAGCAGTGCTGTATCTGCTTTTCCCTAGCTAACCAAAGAGCAGAATCAGATCTCTTCAGCCCTTGTATCTTCCAGACCACTTCTACTAGGCTTGAGCTGTTCTCCTGTTGGGCCTCATCTCCACTGACAAAAGCTTTTCCACAGCCAGTGGCTCTTTCTCTTCCTGCTATGAAACCGTTTCAAAAGCTGAAAAAACATCAGTGCCAAGGAAAACATATCAGTGCATAAAGGAAGGTGATTTCTGACTAACAGACACCTATGGGGTGGCACCACAGACCTGCCTGGTTATGTACATTTTGTCTCTCTTGGTGGCAAAGAAGTTTGCCCCTATACCTAATATATCAGTTTCCAGCTGAGGGTCTAAATGAAAACAATTGCAGGTGATCGAGACAGGTTATTTCCTTTGTAAAACTCCATCCACAGCAAGCCTAAGGATCTAAGAATAATCATTTTATCGAAGAAAACAATTAATTTCCTTAGAATTAAGATACTCAAGTCACTTTTCCACAGGTCTCAGCTCCTTAAGATGACAAATTATGAAATATACACAGTGAAATCACATTTCAGCAGAAATAAAATAGTCTTCCACATCAGCAGAGAGCTGATCAGCTTCTTGCACAGCCTCGTGGCACTCACTCTTTAACAGGCATTTTTCTAGTTGTTTATTGCACTGAAAAGAAAATAGATTAAAAGATAAGCCAACTAGTTTACTCCGTTCTTAATTCCTTTGAGATCTCTTTCCACATTAAGAGGTCTTTTAAAATTCTATTTCTTCCTGCTTAATGCCACACCAGGGCTGATGAAATGCTGTCAAAGTTTGGAAGCTGGACCTAAGACTGCCGATGCAGTAATGCACTCAGAGCCACAAGGGTCACCCGTGTATCTTCACCTGCCAACACACAGTCCCCTGTCCTCACCAATGCCTTACATACAACTACAGCAAATAACTACACCGAAGATGAAAAAATGGAGTTGTTTTTCTCACACATGCCCTTACCTCTGTCAGTGGCAGCAGCCATGGAGGTGTCTGTCACCTCTCGGGCGATGGATGTCCCCGTGTGAGTCTTACATCTGTTTTGGTTTCTATTCCCAGCCTGAACCTGGGACTTCACTGCTATTACTCACTTGGCCATTCCTTTGCAGTGACATATGCGAGTGCCCTGCCCCACAGGGTGAAACTGAAAGTGAGCTCCTGCCAGCAAAAGGCTGCAAGAGAGCTTGAGTCCCCTCCAGGAGTGGCTCTGGAGCTGTAAATGGGGTGGCCTGACAGAAGCTGGGATTAAGAGGTGAGCCATTTTTTTCCAGTGCAGAACAGAAATTATATCTCTTTATTACTACTACCCCAAAGCAGAAAAACGTTTATTCTCTAATCACCCCAGTGCACCAAGAGCATCTACACAGATGGCATCAAGTCACACAGCTCTGCCACTTTTCTGGCACTCAGATAGAGACAGAAGGTGGATCAGAACCCGGTGGAGAGAGGGAACAGAAGCCTTCACCTGCAGAAGCATGTGATTCTGTGACTCTCCAGCAGGCAGCAATGGTTACTGACATTTCCCTTCATCGAAGCATCCTGTGGAGTTCCAGGGACTAGTCCTATAACCTTGAACCCGAGTCCTCACAAGAGCAAGGAAGGCTCAAGGTGTGTGAGGACCCTCTACAGCTCAAGGTGTGTGAGGACCCTCTACAGCTGGGGTCAGCGACTGGGCAGCCACGCTCAGGCTAACTCCAAGTGCCCAGCGCCCAGGAGAGCTCTGCCAGTGGGCAGCTTGTGGGGCAACACCCAGATATGTATGGAACTCCAAACTGGTAACAGCTCTGTACTCATCTGGGCACCCTGAGAGCAAGACCTGGCCAGCTGGTGAGTGTCTGCTGAGGCTTTTGGTCATGACAGGTAAGTTCCCTGGTGTAAACAGAACAGGCTTTTTCCACCACCCTGAAAAATCTGCTCAGCATTACAACGAGCATCACCCTCCTCTGAGTCTGTAACTCACACAAGATGCAGCAAAAAATCTTTGCCATTTAATGTGAAACGTGAGTGAAACAATGTGAGTTCACAGAGAGAAGCCTCTGTCTGACTGACACACCCACAGGGGCAGAGCAAGGGGACTGCAAAGGACTTCTCCACGTGGCTCAGCTGGAGGTGACTGTGCTGAGGAACCCCACCACTTACAGCTCCCTCTGTACCTTGTGGCCGGGTGCAGGCTGCAGAACTGAATCCCTGCTGAGCCACCACCAAGCAATGGGCAATCCCTGAGGACAAAGCCATGGCCTCCCTCCGTGCCAAGGGTGGTTTGGGCTGTAAAGCCAGGGGAGTGATTTATTTGTGCTGTTTGTAATGCAACATTCCCAGGTGTCTCCTGGAAGCTGAATATGCTCTACAAGATGGTGGGAAACCAAAAGGGTTAAAAAAAAGGAAACATCATTCTGCTGTTCCTGACAGCCTAATGTGAGAGGAGGAGTTCCTGCTCTGCCAGGACCTGCAGGCTCCAGGCCCTGTGTGACTCTGTAAATAGTGTCTTTGCAGCAGCCAGCACTCCCCCTGTCCCGGCGTGGGGCAGGGCTGGGTGAGGTGGAGCTTGGCACAGGGAGGGGCTGGGTGGTGAGATGCAGGAGGAGCTGCTGCTGCTGCACAGGGGCAGGTCCCAGCAGAGCCAGGGCCACCAGCCTCGCTCTCCTGGCTCCTACACAGCGTGCCCATGGGTGGGTCTCCTATCAGTCAGACACTTCATGGAGGCACCAAATCAAAACGGCCACCCGAGACCCCATGGGCCCCCTCCTCAACTGGAGGAGCTCCTCAGTCTGCTATACAGATGCACAGCTCAGAGACCACCCAGCAACTCAGACCCTCCCCGAGAGGAGGACAATTCTCTGTGAAAACTTGAGATGTGGAAGAACTGGCATCAGCCCACCACCTCCAGAGCAGGACCTCAACTCAGGACAACACTGCTGCCTCCACGGGGGTGATACTTTTTTTTTGTCTTAATGTTCTCCTATCTTTCTTTTCCCTTCTGTCTAACTCTCTTCTACACATTTTTGCTAGGATTGAGTAGTGCCACACTTTTAGCCTTAGACTGCAAGTAAGGAAACAGTTGTTTGACCACGCACCTTTATCACAATGCTTCTTGATTGCCATCAGGAAGAGCAGATAAATCATTCTGTATTGTTTTCCTGAGCCATTGTCCTGGCTCCACTGCCTCTGTGGCCCTGCTCTCCAGGGACAGCACATCTCTGGGGATTATAACATTCACCTTCCCTGTCACCCACTGAGTCTGAGGTCCTCCTAGCAGGCACAGCAACCTTCAGGGGACCATCTATCAGTAGTCTTGATAGCTCTGAACTGGAACAGCCGTGGCATGGGGTGCAGGTCTGGGGGACACCCAGTACAGCTGTGAGATAGCCCTCCACAAGGGAACAGCTCAAGGGGTGTCCTGCTGCCGTGGGGGTGTCCTGATGCAGTGGGATGTCCTGATGCAGTGGGGGTGTCCTGCTGCCATGGGGTGTCCTGCTGCAGTGGGGGTGTCCTACCTGAGAGGAGTCGGCTGTGATGCTGACAGGGAACCTCACCAGCTTCCTCGCCACATCTCAGCACTACAGTCAGCCCAGATTGCAGATTCAGAGGCTAACACAGCTACTGCTTGTCTTGTAAGACAGGAAGGGCTCCAAGAGAGGGAACACATCCCCTGGCATCTCCTTTGCCACAGCCTACTGCTCAGTCCTCAGTCCACCACCATCAGAGATGCTTAAACTGAGACACTTTGCCTCCCACTGTCATGACTGAGGTTCAAGGATGAGCAGAGACTTCTCCTGGCAGAACTGCTTTGGGTTTAACCAGACACACGGCAGCAAAGGGTGCAGTGCCAACAAGGCAGTGCCAGTGTGAAGCACCGTGGCTCTGCATCACCCCTCTGGGGCTGCAGCTCAGGAGGCAGAGCTGTGCCAGGCTCCCAGAGCCTCCCTGGGAAGGGAAAGCTCTGACTGCTCCCTGGCTCTGCTCAGAAGTCTGAGATGCCACCACGAGACCATCCAGAGGCACAGTTGAGATGGCACACGCAGAGCGTGGTGGCATGGAAATTCTGATCTGCTGAAAGAAAACCCATGCAGGCCAAAATAGTGATGGAGCTCCGACCACTGCAGTGCCCAAAAGGCCTGAGCCTGAGCAGGGATGCTGCAGAGGGAGACACGAGCTAGCAGCACCTCTGTCCAGCCAGGAAACAGGCTGTGAGGAGAGGACATCACACCGTGGGGCAGGACGTGGGCTTGGGCCAGGGCTGGAGAGGACCCGACCAGACCAGGTGGCCAGAGGGCAGTGCTGGGTGAGGCCTTACCCCACACATCATCCACAACCTCCAGATGACCGAGTTAAGCACAGATTTCAGTCCATAGGAGACTAAAACGTCACATGCCTGGAGCAGGGAACAGAACAGCCACGGTGCCTAGGGGACTAGCAGCTGCCACTCGGGACTGGGTTCAAGCCCTCCTGTGTCCCTGCCCATGACAGCTACAACACCCAGGTACAGAACTGTGGCTGCAGAGGTGTCCAGGCAACACAGACTCCAATGTCAGGAGGTGAAGAAACTGTTCAAACTTTATTACAGGAAGTCTCTTTTACAGATTCACTGGATTATTGACACTGGTGTTACAGATTTATTGGCTACCGAGTTGCTGCGGTCCGTTCGTTGGTCCCTGAACCCAAACATTCACCAAGGCCAAGATGCAGAGTGTTTGTCAGGTGTTTACCATTCCATTCCCACAGCTCAAGCCCTCAGTGTGTGAGAAAGTAGATTTCTCAAGGGCAATAGCTGCAGCTTGCTGACTGCAGCTCACAGTGGAAAATCACCTCATCTCAGACTGTCAGCATCCACACTGAACATCACTCCTCAGCCTCCAGATCTTTCTCCTGGCCTTCTGTGTGTGTGTCACACAGTTAATGGCAATGCTTCCATCAGCCACGGCAGCAACACGACTATTCTGTTTCATGACTTGGCTTTTGTCTCTACCAGGTCAAGGGAGATGGCTTCTGATCTCTAAGTTACTACTGAGAAACATTGCTCTGCTGTATCATTGCTATTGGGCCTATCAGCAGTCACTGGGTATGTTTATTTTTATTCTCACATTAGATACAGCATCCTGCAGGTAAATTCCTTCTTCTCACACACCCCAGAGAGAACTGAGCTGAATGAGAGGTCTCTTCTTGCTTTCTGTTTGACCACAGACTGATTTGCTAGGCAAATGTGACTCAGAAAGAATGGCTTAAAATAAAAATCTTATCATAGTCTCATAGATAAGCAGAGCGTAGACAAGGGACCAGGTGTCCAGAGCCACTGTTTGCTGCAGCCAAGTCACAGCAGCTCTTGCCAGACACTGCCAGGGCACAGCCAGGGCACAGCCAGGGCAAGACTAGGGCACAGCCAGGGCCAGCTACGTCCCGAGGGATGAGGAGCTGAGTCAAGCAGGATAAAGCAGACAGCAAGGAAGGACCCTTGCCAGTCAGGGCCCATCCCAGTGTACCCAGGACAGGAGAGCAGGGCAGGCCTGGGGCCGGCAGCCACAATCAACCAGGACTCCAGGTTTTCAGATAGGTTGATGCCAATGAGGCAGATCCTGGGTCAAGCTGGGAGGTCAATACTCAGGTCCTACGATGGCGACCAAGGTCACGTACAGACAGAGGGATCACCATCCTACAGTGGCCCATAGAAACCAGACAGGTCTGAGGGGAACACAAAAGATCAGTTCCCAGGTCAGGAAGGAGATCAACAGGATCCTTGGCTGGACATGGGCACAGACGTAGGCATGGACGTGAGATGGAGACAGGGACATCTGTGCCGTAGTTCAGGCAAGGACCAACAGCACAGAGCTGAGCTTAAACACAGCTCCTGCCCTGTCTGTGGGCAGGACGTCAGTGGAAGCCCCACATGAGGGTGGTCAAGGCAACAAAGGTTTTTTTAAAGCCCTCAGAGCAGTGAGAGGCACAGACAATAACATGAGACAGTACCAGTCCCTGACATGTGGGGTGAGCAAGTGGCTGATGGGTCAGGCCCAGGGGGCTACAGTAAATGGGGTTACCTCAGGCTAGCAGCCAGTCACCAGAGGGGTTCCACAGGGCTCTCTGCTAGGACCAGTGCTCTCTAATGATTTCATGGGTTATCTGGATGCAGGGATCAATTGTGTATTAAGTTTGATGAAGTTACTAAACTAGGAGAAGCTGTCCTTGAGGACAGAGAGGCTTTACAGAGAGATCTGGATAGACTCAAGACCTGAACATTCACCAATCATATGAAATTTAACAAGGTCAAGTGAGAGATTTTTCCACCTGAGACTGGATAATCCTCGTGCTGATCTCCTCTCTTTGGTGGCTAACAAGAGGACAGAGGAAACAGAATGAAGCTGCATCAGGGGAAGTCCAGCTTGGACACTAGGAAGAGGTTCTTTACTGAGAGGCTGGTCAGGCACTGGAACTGGGTCCCCAGAGAAGTGGTCACAGCACCAAGCCTGCCAGAGTTCAAGAAGCATCTGAATGATGCTTTTGCCATACAGGTTAGTTTTAGGTAGTCCTCCGAGGCGTGGAGAGTTGGGCTCAACAATCCTTATTGGTCTTTCCAGCTCAAGACAGTCCAAAATTCTATTAATAGCAGTTCCTGAGATCCTGAAATAAAAATATGACATTTAGACCCTTTAAGAAGTACACTTTCAGCTTGCTGTGATTTGAAATGGAATAGCAGGAGAAGTCTATCACTTTTAATAGCCTGGGATATTTCTTTCCCACAGATGCCCTATGGGATGGATTTCCCAGATGTTCAATGACTATTTAACCATAGATTTCTTTCACTTTGCTTCACTAAGAATAATATTTGTCAGAAAACTCCAATACATTGAAATCAAAATACCAGAGGACATATATGAGGTGGGGGAGGTTTTTTTTGGTTGGTTGGGTTGTTGTACCCAGTCCTTGCAGGCCAAGGATGTGGAGCTGTTCTCAAGCAGGGTCTCTTGTGTCCAGGGGCACAACGTTCAGCACTCTTGGTGAGCACTCTCTCTGCTCTCTCCTGCCTTTCAGGAGGTCTGGCACAAAACAAAACCAAGGCTGGATTTTCCCAGGGGACAGACATTCTCTTTGAACAGCTTTTCTCATCCCACAATGTCCCCTTCAGACCAGCCAGCAAAGCTGCTGGACCAAATCTGGAGGGGACTTCAGTGAGGCATGTAGGGGCTCAGTGGCGGGGAGGGGGTGTCAGAGCACTGCAGGCATTGGCAGGAAGAGCCTGGGTACAGCCCTTTGTGAGCACAGACCGCTGCTCAGACCCAGGCTAGACAGTCTGGTGGAGGGTTTCTGCCACAAGACAGGAGGTTCAGCTGCCAACCAAGGGATTTCCCACTCTGGAGCCTGAAGGAGAAAAGCTGACCTCTTGGCCTTTGCTTCATAACACAATGGAAGAAAACCCACAGTGTTTCTGTCCCAAGGAGACAGGCTAGCTCCTATGATTTCACCGTGTTACTTTTTCTAAAAGCATTCTGAAGCACTCTTCAAACTCCAACTAGATACAAACAGTTTCCTTCCTGGTCCTTACAGCTCAGTGACCCCAGGCTGCAGATCATTTCATGTGAATCCCTCTATCCCTCAGAGTCTACTAACCTTAAAAAATTCCTTGAGCTTCCAATCATTCTCAATTATCATTTGCCGAAAGTCTTCAGGCCAAACATAATGATAATGATGATGATGATGATTATCACCTGTTCGGATAAAGGTCTTCCAACAGGCAGTGTAGTCTGGATAAACAGAAGTGAGATGACTAACCTGAGTTTATTCAGATACCAGAAAACCTCAGAGAAGACTTTTTAACGTGACACAGAGACGGCTCAGCCGTGGACAGGGCAGCTGATGGATGGTGTCCACTCTGTATTTAGAACCAAAGCCATTCTCTCTGGGCTTTTTTCCCCCCTCTTTCTTATTGATGGAGGGCCCCTTCAGCCAGCCTTACCTCAGCAGCTACATCTAGTCCCCCAGGAGAAGGGAAAGCACCCATGCCCTCAGCACTGACAGAAGGATGGCATCTCTACACATGGGAGAGTTTTCATCCAGGGCTGGTAGCTAAGGGTGCTGTCCCCCTTCTCCTGCAATATTTCAGCATCTTTCTTCAGATGTGACACTCAGTCACTGAATGGTGATGGATGTGCCCTCAAAGAAGCTGAGCAGGACACTGGTCACAGAAACAAGCCCATACCTGTTTCACCCCTGCACAAAGCTGACCAGTTCACCCCTTCCCAGTTCCACAAAACAAAGGGAACCTTGCCTTCAGTGTCCATGACGGTGAGCCGTACTCTGGCACAGCTCACCAGCTCCTCCAGGCCCTGCCGGGTTGTTTCATCCTCTATGAAGTAGAGCCGTGCGACCCGGATGTCTATGCTGACGTAGGAGTGCTTCATTAAGAACTGCACTATTCTGTAGCAGCAGTTTGCACAGGGGCTCCAGGACAAGTACCAGGTGATGGAGCAGTGGGCGTTGTTGAACCTCCTCGGCTCAAAGATCTTCTCCAGGAAGTAGACCTCAGCGTGGTGGCGGTCCTTCCTGACCCAGTGTTTCCAGCGCCTGCCTCTGGCACCCCACTGCAGCCTGCACAGCAGGAACGTGTCCCTCGGAGACACGCGGGGGTCAAAGTGATACCCCAAAGCCCTCCTAGATATATACATCCTGAAACAGAAGAGAAGCTTCAAGGAGTCGCTGGGTACAACTTTGTTTTCCGTAGTTTTCCAGTAGACAAACAGAGGGGCAGGGTGGAGGAAAGGAGAGAACTGGGAAGGGCAAACACGAGAGAGCAGTGGAAGGAGAAGGGAGAAGTGAGCAGCCCAGCAGGTGAAGGAACCCAGCCCTGAACACTGAGTCCTCCCAGCACCCTCACCCCTGCAGGCAGAGCTCCCAGCACCCTCACCCCTGCAGG